TGGCAAAGCAGCTAACGCAGGAGTTAGCAAGAGTCTTAGCAAGTGTAAGAAAGCGTACTGTCCCCCGAGCCCGCTCCCTGTCTGTGTACTGAGCATGACGTGCTGGGGAATGAAACAGCCCTTGGGTCAGTTTGGGTCAGCTCTCTGAACCGTGTGTTGTGTCGTGTGTGTCCCCCTCCACTGCCTGCGGTGAGAGTTGGGAAGGCAGCTGCAGTGTCAGAAGCTGGCAAAGACCTTGGATTTGGTGCAAGCGCTCCCCAGCACCAGCTAAAAAGGCAACTTATCATCCCTTTTCTGAGGGTAAATCCAGAAACCCAGCTTCATACCAGCCACTGTGAGGAGAGTGAGCTCTTTCCTGACTAAAACCAGCACAGGCGGTTTTCACTTTCTCTGGGTAACTTGCTTTTTGTTATCTGGCTAAAAAAGCACTGCTGAAAGTGCAAATTACATGACTGAGCTTCTCTGTCTTCTGCAGGCCGTACTGGCGGTGTTACTACTCAAATACAGATGCCGTCATCTACGTCGTGGACAGCTGCGATCGCGACAGGATTGGCACTTCCAAGTCGGAGCTTGTTGCTATGTTGGAGGTAAGAAAACGGGAATGACGATCGTATCAGTAGAACAGAAATGTAGAAATTGAAACCTTTGGTTTTTGTCGGAGCAAGTGTGAAATTTGGTTTAGATCGAGTGAAGCTCAACTTTGCTTGTGAAGCTTGGGCCCTCAGAACAGGCCTGTGCGACCTTTGTGGTGTCCCTTGTGAAATCCAACTCCCGGCCTGTTCCCCAGCGCAGCAGCCGTAACCGGCCCTGTCTGAAATTGTTCCGGTGTGGTATCGTGCTGGGAGCAGCTGGAATGGATGGCAAATCCCACTCTGACCGGTTTTCTCAAGCATGGATGTCACCAAACTGAAAATCCCATGAGCTGCTGCAGTTGTTCGTTCTCTGGGTTTTCTCTGTTTACATGAACTGGGTGAAAGTCTGTGCGCTGACGGGCACCGTTCCCCTTTTCCAGGAAGAAGAGCTGAAGAAAGCCATTTTGGTGGTGTTTGCAAATAAGCAGGACATGGAGCAGGCCATGACTCCCACAGAGATGGCAAACGCGCTTGGCTTACCGGCTCTGAAGGACCGCAAGTGGCAGATCTTCAAAACCTCTGCGACCAAAGGCACGGGGCTTGATGAGGCGATGGAGTGGTGAGTAACCGCCTCGTTGGGCTAGCTTCGTCAGACACCCCCCTCTGTTGTGTGCTTTGGTTTGGATGGCTGGGTCTGTCGGACGTAAAAGGCGAGTCCACGTTGGGCAGAAAGCTGCTCCGTAAGGGACTTCCCGGTGAACTGACGTCAGCTCTTTCCTAGGTTGGTGGAGGCCTTGAAGAGCAGGCAGTGACACGGAGCTGACCGCTGCCAAGACGTCTCCGCTACGGCCCGCCTCCCTCTTCCTGCAGTCAGGTATTTTCAGGCCCCAACTGCATGTAAATAGGTGAGAGTTGAGTGGATGCCTCGCTTCAGCTGTAAAACTGAACGGAATTGAGTATCTGTGTACGTGACGACGTTCCACTTCCTTCTCTTTCAAGGATGTACTTAGGTTCATTTGTATGGAAGTCTCGCTGGCTGGGAAAGGCTTTTGTGTGCTCCCCCCACCCTTCGTGGCTACTATACTCCTGTAATGGAAACACTAATAAAATCAGAAACTGTCAGCTGTACGCTGAGGGGTGTCGCTTCCTTGAGCCCTACAGAGCTTTCCTCCAGCCGATGCGGTTCTGCCTCAGCCTCCTCTCGCCGTGCAGCGCAGCGGGGGCCTGCTGAAGGGGCCGGGGCTCTCATGTGCTGTCCTGAGCGGGTTGTTCCTGTCCCAGGAACGGTGAGTAAAGGTGCCCAGCACACCTGCACAGACTGAAAGGCAAAGCCGGGAGGCGGGTTCTTTTTTCTCCGGGAGCGAGGCTGCTCACAGGCCTGAACGATGTCATCACAAAACCCAGCTTTTAAGAATAAGGTGAAATTTAATATAAAACATCGTGGCGGTTGTCCACTCAACTGTACATGCCCTGCTAAATATACAGGTTTGGAAAAAGACTGAAAAGCTTTTAAGATCCTAGATGCAAAAAAAGACATGAAAAAATACTATTAAATACAATTAAAAAAAACCCCCAGTAATTAGTTCTTTAGCTTGAATTTACTTTTTATAAATTAATCCTCCAGGGAGGAAAATCCTTTTCATTCCACCATCGCTAAATCTTTCAGCGTGTGACTTCGTGGTCTCTTGGCCTTGTAGGCAGGGCGCAGGAATTCCATCTTCCTTTTTCTGGTTTCTGCCTTATTCTTGTGTCTCTTCAGCTTCCTCCTCGCAGCGACGTCGGGGTTTGCTACAGTCTAGTGAGAAACAACAGGGCTGTTTAGTTGCAGCTGGCAACCCTCCCTGCACCCCCCCGCCACTTCCGAAGGAAGCGGTGACTGGTAAGGCGACGCTCGGGTTTCCTTAGGCTCCTCAAAACCAAGGGCATTTGTTCTGGCTGCTCTGCCCAGGTCTGGCACCGCTCTGCAGGCATCGCTGTCGGCCAGACCCTGAGCTTAAACGCTTCGCCGGGAAGGTTCTGAACCCCGGCAGTGACGCTGTCCCAGCTCAGGATGTTCTTCCTTGTCTCAGGCCTTTGGAGAAACCCTGCTTCTTGTCCCTGAAGAGGAAGCAGAATCTTACCTGCAGCGCCCTCTGCTTTTTCCTCATGGCTCGTTTCTGGTTGGCTTGTTTCTGCACGGAAGAGAAGGCCAGGGAAAAGGCCTCCAGTCCAACTAACTTCTTAAGCAGTTCTATGATTTCTTGGGACAGGTTCTTCAGCGTTGGATCTAATGAGCCAAAACAAACGTGTTAATCATCTCAGTGTACGGAATGACAGCCAAGAGCCCAGTAGGCATTCCTCTCTCTTTACTAAAGGACAGCTGTACCCGTGCATCTTGCCCAGGATCCTGTAGAGCCCTTGTGGAATCTGCTGGCTCTTCAGCAGCTTTCCCAGGGGACACAAGTGGTGCTGCATGCAGGCAAACACACACAAAAAATGCTTCTGAGAAGCAAAAGTGTTTTTTTTCCAAAGGATAATGGTATCCCAGGGGTTAGTAAAGTAGTTTGCTGTATATAGCCACCACAGCTCTTTGGGAATAGGTGGTGTTGGAGAGAGAGATGACTCCAGCCTTGTCAGTCAGCCCTGCTGTCCACAGTGAGGGCTGGCTTAAGGCTGAGGATCACTAATTGGACACACAGCATTAACTGCAGTCACTGAAAAAACCCAGGTATTGGGGCTACAAAGAGGTGCAGAGGGAAAACAGAGCAGGGCAGGTGTTCCCCTCTTTCTTCCAACACCTTGTACAGAGAAGCCTGTGTGAGCTGCTTGCCTCTACTGCATCCTTCTGTGACAGGTTCCCCAGGTCTGCACTCCCCTTCGTGTGAGAAGCTGTTCTGATAAACCATCTGATGGCCCCTGGCTCCCACGCTGGCAGAGAGCAGAGTTATCTCCTCACAATGCCGTCACTCTCGGCCTCTTTTGAGGCCCCTTGCTCAGCTGAAGAGCAGTGGTAGCCTAGGTGGCCGCTCCTTTCCCGGAACACAGCTCGTGCCCTCCTCCAGAGCTTTTTCAGGCCTTTCGCATCCCCTCCGGGACGTGGGGATGCAGTGCCACACACCGAGTTTCCATGGCATACACAAAAGACAGAGTTAGAGTAACATCGCTCGCTCTCTCTAGGTTCACTGTCTGTTCTTTTCCTGACACTGGATTCTGCTTGACCTAACACTTTTCATGAACTGTCTGAATGCCGGTGCCTTGCTCTTAGGCCAAGAGTCTCAGGTTAAACGTGAAGTTGGTTTGGCTTTCCCCCACCGGGCGTGACTTCCTAAGATCTAGAGAGACCTGCTAGAGGCTGCAAGGAGGTGAAATTCAGGGAATATGGCATCTGTGCCCCAACAGACACAAGGAGAGGGAGGCAGGTTTGTGCCGCGGTGGAGCTCCGACGTGCTTCCCTCCTCACTGCCCTTGGGGAGGGGAACCACTTACCTTGCTCTGCGTAGTTGCTGTTCAGCTCCCTGTACAGAGGGGTGAGGATTGTTGTCAGGTACGGCTGGATCCTGTCATTCCCCAGATCCACTGAGATTGCTCCCAGGAACTTAAAGATGCAGCTTCTCTGAAAAACAGCACAGGACACGTAAGGAAGGCTGGAAGGAAACTGCCTAATGGAATTGCTGCACGAGGGCTGTGCGTTGCTGTTCAACGCACAAGGCAGAGTCAGAACTCTGCGATGGGGCCCTGCTGCAGCCAAGTACGGCCTGCAGCTGAGACACAGCCCCAGGGGACCCGTGAGTATGCAGCGGTGACTCGGCAGCTGGGGACACCTTGAACAACAGGCATGTTCTCCCTGTCCTGTCCCCAGGCAGCCGAGAGCTCAGCCGCTGTAGGCCGAGCTGCAGACCATGGGAGCCACTCTGCTTTTCCTGATGCTCTCCCACAGCCCCCCCTTCTAGCAGTAACTGCCCACTGCCACCCCCCTGCCTCCTGCACAAACCTAGGACCCTTGGCCTTGCTCTGTCCCGTTACCCTTCCCACCCTTCCACCACCCCACACGAGGGCTGGAAGCAACAGCAAGGAGAAGCAGACTGGCACAAGCCTTTCCCGAGAATCCTGAACCGAAATGCTTGTTTCCTTGGCACCTACTCACTAATCCTCCCTTCAGCACCAGCTCCCAGCACCCTCTATGGCTGGTCCCCTGGAAGCACAGAGCCAGCACAACCCTGCTGAGCAATGCCTTCCGCTCCCAAGCAGCTGCCCTAACCCCATCCTTACCTTTACCGGGACCTTAGGGGAATAGGCTGCTTCTCGCTTTGCCATGAGAGAGAGCTTCTTCATTAACCACAGCAGCGTGGCTGGCTGGCCTCTCTCTCCTGTGTCCTCTCTTTCTTCCTCTCCTTGTGCAGGAATGTCTTTCTCTTCCGAGGCTTCCTGCTCTTCCGCTTCACAGCTGAGTTCTCCTCCTGCCTCCTCACCTTCTAAGGCAGGAGCTAGCAAGTAAATAACCTTCGCCACAAAAAGCAAGTTCTTTATAACCTGAAGTGTAAAAGCAGAGCAGTCGGTCACTGTGGGTTCCCCCAGTATCAGCACCGGCAGCGTGAGAGCCGCTGGCCCTGCACTGTCTCTTTGCCTTGAGCCACCGCCTGTTGTCCTGACGAGGATCCAGCGCTCCCGCCCGGGCCAGGGCTGCTCCAAGCCCTCCGGCAGCCCCCAACCTTCCCCTGCTCTTACCTGCTCACCCAGAGACGGGTCCAGGAACTTGGACTGCAGCTGGTGGCAGAAGGCAAAGGCAAGTTCCTTCATCTGGGGAGAGGAAAGAGGAGAGGAAATCACCCTGTGAAAGGCAGCCAGCAGCAGAAACTTGAGGTGGTGGTCTGCAGTTGCCAAAGGTGGTTCCCAGGGGAGGCCAAGGGATCGGCTCAGCATTACGTTGCCTGCATCCTGCAGCCTAGAGGGGAATCTTTGTGCTGCTGAGAGTAAGACCCCAGAGAAGCCCCTTCCCAGCAGCAGATGCCTCCTCAAACGCTTGATCAGGATTAGGCAGCAGACAAGCAACTAAGGGAAATGCACGGGGCAGGGAATGGGAAGGGGCAGGGGAAGGAGTAGCACAGACATGGTTACCTTTTTGTCCAGTTCAGCAGTCAGGAAGACTGTGGATGCAGACAGCTCTGCTGACACCTTTTTCCTCTTCCCTGCCTTTCTTTCCCTCCACTTACTGACAAGATCTTCTGGCTTGAAAGATGCAAACAACAAGCCAAAGATCTCCGTAGCTGTCAGCCAGACCCAGCTGTGCGGGTACCACAGGTGGGACTGGACATGACCTGGGACAAAGAAAACCTCTTTCAGCACTGGAGCTAGTCCAGTGGGAACAGAAAAAGAACCGGCTCCCTCCAAGGATTACCACAGCACATGTTACAATAAAGTGATGGAAATCAGAGTCATAGAACAGTTTGGGTTGGGAGGGACCTTAAAGACCACCCAGTTCCAACCCCCCTGCCATGGGCAGGGACACCTTCCACTAGACCAGGTTGCTCAAAGCCTCATCCAGCCTGGCCTTGAACACTTCCAGGGATGGGGCATCCACAGCTTCTCTGGGCAACCTGTGCCAGTGCTTCTGCACTCATCTGCTTGGAGCATAATCAAAGACTTCCCAGCGACTCCATCCAGCCACAGCCGAGAGCGGCAAAAAGCTGTGGGTAGCCCAGTGTCCCCATGGTGACCACCCACAGCACTTCTGAACATCCAAAGATGGGGCCATCGCTGGAAAGTGGTGGCAGCAGGGTAGGAAAAGGGCACAGCACAAAAGGGCAGTTGCTCGGATCCTGGCTGACAAGTCAGG